ATGAAAATGTTGAGAATAGAGTGTGCAGTACATGTTAGCTTTCATGATTATTAATAGTAGGAAATAAGGATGGGTAGTGGACAAAAAGATACTGGAGAGAGATTCAGAATCATGCTGATAGCTTCCTGAACACGTTGTCCCCAAACTGTCCTGTTTCTTCTGAATTGGGACCTTGGGTGGGAGGATTGGCTTCCAGGAAATGCTGTATTGGACTTGAGGGAAGATGAGTATATCAGAATTAGGAGAAAGGTGACTCACCCGGGAAAAGCGCAATGATAACACCAACATGGGCCAGTGAAGTGATGTCCTCCACAACTAGACTGAAGAACAAAGGGACAGCAGCTTGCCTGTTCCCCTTCCCTAATTCCCCAGTGTTGTTCCCTTCCCCAGTTCCACAATAAAATCTTAAAAAAAAAAGAAAATACATTTGCACACCCATGTTCATCATAGCGCTATTCACAATAGCCAAGAGGAGGCAGAAGCAGCCTAATGTCCACTGATGAATGAATGAATAAGAAAAATGTGGCACATTCATGCAAAGGAATATTATTTAGACTTAAAAAGAAAGGAAATCCTGTCACATGCTATACCGTGGGTAAGCCTTGAGGACAATATGCTAAGTGAAATAACGTAGTAACAAAAAGAAAAATACTGTATGATTGCACTTATGTGAGGTATCTAAAGCAGTCAAATTTGTAGAAACAGAAAGTGGAATGGTGCTTGCCAGGGTGGTGAGAATGGTTTGGAAATGAGGAGTTGTTGTTTAAGGGATATAGAGTTTCAGGTTTGCAAGATGAAGCAGTTCTGGAGCTCCATTGAACAACAATGTTAATATACTTAACATGACTGAGCTGTACACTGAAGCATGGCAAATATGGTCAATAGTATGCAATATATTTTTTTACCACAGTTTTTAAAACTTAGAAAGTTTTAAAAAATGAGATAATGAACCCATATAGATGAATTTTATAGCCTCCAAATAAAAGGTGATGGTACAATTAAGAAGTGAACAATTGATTTGCCCCCCAACACTCCCATGTACCTGGTAGAATAGGAACAATAGAATTACAATAATTACTCTCATTGGGGGACCCCCCACAGTGAGGGATTATAGCAGTTCTGAAATACTGTTGGTTAGACTTTGTGAAAGCCTGTTTCTGGAACAGAGGCTCTGATTCTGATCTCAGGAGGGGCTCCCTTGTCCAGGGTCCCTAGATCTACCTTCGGCCAGGCTCTTCCTTGTCCATTTGTCCTCCTTAGTCACTCTGGAAGTAGAACTTGGTGGACATGCCCTTCCTTGGTGGCGGTCATTGCTTGTCTCTAGCTCACAGAAGATTTAAAAGTTGCTTGATAGCTAGAACAACCACAGCCTTTTCCAGTCTTAGCTTCCGATTTTCTTGGCAATATAATTCCCCCAAGAAAAGAACTAGGACTTTTTTGAAATACCAGTAACAACATGCAAAGTCCCTCCGTCCGCCGTAGCCCTTGGCTGATTTCTCTTCCTCCACACCTGGCCCAGGCCTCTCTTTGAGGCTGAGGACCCCAGGCTTGAATGGGAATGCCACACTCGAACCTGCTCTCTTCTTGAAGCCACACTATCCGACTGAAATGTTTTGTGGGTACTTTCTTGTTCAAAGCCTTTGAAAAATTCCGCCTCACTGCTTGGGAGGGTGAAACAGTTGGGTTTTTGAACTCTACAAGGTCCTACATTTCTGGACTCCATAGTACTTTTCACTCCTGCTTGTAAATGTACCCAGTCTAGGTCAGAACAAAGCCCAGGCCAGAGGCTGCAGAACTGGCTGGCAACTCCAGCATCCTAAGTGTGAGACAGCTGAGGAGCACGAATCCCACACTCATCTCTGCATCTGGAGCTTCTGGGGAACTCATAAAATGAACCAATGGGAAGAGGACCCTTTCCCCATCTCAACATCCGAAGTCAGAATCCTTGGGAGTGTACTGATGTTTTGAAAGGAGCTCAGGTGACTTTAATGCACAGGAAACTTAGGAACTATTTGATGCCCAAAAGTAAGTCCATAACCACACCTATGTGGCCACCAATGAAAGGTGATGTCCACAGATCCAGATCTCAAATACCAGGTCACAGTGCCCAGCTACGTACTGTTAACATTTGCTTGGTCCCTAACCTTGGTAGCCTGGATAATGGCCCCCACCCAAAGAGGCCCACATCCTAATCCAATTCCTAGAAACTGTGATTGTTACCTGACACGAAAAAAGGAACTTTGCAGATGTAATAAATTTAGGGATCTTGAGATGGTGAGATTATCCTGAATTATCTAGACAGGCCCAATATAATCACAAATATTTTTTATAAGATAGAGGCAGAAGGGTAAGAGTTAATGATAAGATGTGATAACAGAAACAGAGGAGGAAGGGGAGGAGGAGGAAGAGGAGGAAGAGGAGGAGAGAGGGATTTTCAAGAGGCTATAATGATGGGGGAAGGTGGCCATGAGCTAAGGAAAGCAGGAAGTGTCTATAAATTGGAAAAGGCAAGAAAATTAATTCTGCCCTAGAGTCTCCAGAAAGAATGCAACCCAACTGACTGATTTTGGACATCTGACCTCCAGAATTTGATAATATATTTGTGTTGTTTTAAGCCATTAAGTTTATAATAATTTGTTGTAGTAGCCATAAGAAACGAATACAGATTTCCATAAATGTAAATAGGATGCCACTGTACCAAAGAGTAAAAAAAAAAAAAAAAGTAGAAATGGCTTTGGAACTGGGCAATGGCAGAGGCTGAAAGAAATTTTGAGCATGATAGTAAAAGCCTAGATTTCCCGGAAAAGAATCTTGGCAGCAACAGGAAATGAACGCGCCACACTTGGCATTCCCTCCTGAAACAGGGCCTGTTGCCAATGCTTTGTGCTGAATTTCATCATGCAAAGTGCAAGGAATCCCATGCTTAGCTTAAGGAAAAAAAAAAAAAAGGATTCAAGATTTCCTGAAGATGAATAGAGGTGGCTTGAAAAGGGAATGTGAACAGGTTATTTTGGGGCTTGAGCACATCGTTCTCCCCTCCCTGTTTCCTCTCTTTCCAGACCCTCCACCTCCACCGGCCTGGTACTGCAGAAACTGCTGCTCAGTAAACTATATGGTGATGCCCCATTGGTTTGCATTCCACTCCCTTTGGGGATTGCGATTTGAGATTTACTCCTGATTGGCGATCAAGGCTGCAAACAGGAGGAGAGGAGGAGAGGCAGGCAGGGCTGTTGGACCTGGCACAAGGGTCAGTGAGTTCCCTTAAGAGCTGCCAATAAGTTATCTGCTGACCGATGTATCAGGGCACTTTGGAAAGTGCTACTTGGAGTTTGATGGAATCTCTGAGCCTGAATCAGGGACTCAGGACCCGTTCAGGAATATGGAAGCAGAATCCCCTCTCTTCCCCTCCAGCCCCAGCTGGTAGAAATTGAAGTTTTCCTCGAGACGTGCTCCCAGATCGTAGAAACTAGGTTCTACTGGGTTTCTGTTTGTAACACGTTATCATCTCTATTTTATTGATGGAGTTTCACAATACCCAACCTGTGCTAAGTGACAGAGTGACTCAGTGCCAGTTCTGGATTAGAACCCAAGCGTCCTTCTTGCCAGCCAGGTTCTCTCCAGCACCTCATGCTGCTAAGGCACTGCCTGACCTAGCTTGACCCAGTAGCCATCTCCCCACCAGGCTGCGAAGGTACCATGCAAAATTCATTTAATAGGGCAATCTATCGTATATCTGCTTTTCTTAGTAGAGGGACTGTCCGTGCCTCAGTCAGTCAGATGCCTCTTAGGTAGGTCAAATGCCATGCAAGAGAATACAGACTTTCCGCAAAAGCTACCCATCCATCTAAGTGGATGACCCTGGCCTCCTGGGATTAGGATGGGGGGATAGTGGTAGAGAGAAGTACATTTTGATTTCAGGGAAGCTGACCCCTTAAAATGTGGGTTGAAGAAGGGGCTTCTTATCTGAGGTCACAGGTCTTTCTCCTCCATCTCTAACACTCAACATTTTACCCTGCTTAGCGCATGCGTTTCGGAAGCTGCCTCTTAGGCTCCATGTTCAGGCCCTCATCATCTGTTGCCTGCACCCTGCCAGTAGCCGCCTCCTTGTCCCTGCTCCTCTGAGCCTACATGGAGCCAATAAGTTACACTTCCTGAAACTCACCTCTGAACCTCTAAACATGGCATGCCCTTCTTCAGTGGACCAATATTTGCAACATCTCCTTTTAACCTATGAAGTTGAGTACTAACCTACCACCTTGGCAGTCAGCATCCTTTCTTCAACCTTCCTTTCTAAACTTCCCCATCGCTTGACACAGACGTGGACCCCCAGCTCCCACCTGATCGATTTTCTCCCTCTTTGATGTATATGTGATCATAATTTCTACCTTTAGGTACCTGCTTCCACTCTGCTTTCCCCTTTTCTTAATAATCTTGTAATTTTTAAAGAAAAAACTCATCATTCATCAGGAGAAATTCAAGTTGTCTCCTCTTTACGAAACCCTAATCTAACGATCTTATTGATGATCCCTTAAGTCTTCCTCTGATGTCCCAATACCCACAGTGTCTGCATTTCTCCAAGTTGGAGGATTAATTGAAGGGGGAGAGAGTGAGGGCAGTTATCCCGGCTAAGGGGCAGTTGCAATAGATTAAGGAAGAGACTGTGGGCAAGGCTCAGGAGCTAAGAGAAAAGAAGTGGGGGTGGGGCTCTTGCTAAACAGGTGACAAGGGTGGTTGGGATCTGGGCAAATGGTGTTGGGGACTGGAGTGGTCGTGGTGGACTGCCTGATTGGGTTTTGCCCTAAAGGTTTTTCTACAGGCACTCGGATGAGCCCACCCAGTGGAAAACAGCAGAACAGCCCACAGTTTTCTTCCTTCAAACATGCCCCCTGCCCCCCGGAACGCTGCTCCTCCCTCATCACCAAACTGATACTCAGCTTTTTAATTTCCTTCGAGAAAACACCAAAAGTCAGGTTTTGTATAAAAAAATATATATATTTTGCTCAACAGTTACATCATATTCATTTGCACAATGACATTTTTAGCAATACCTCGGAATTCAAAAAACCAGTGTTTGCATTAATGATTCTCGCAAGGAAACTCACACCATCCCCGGGTGGAACTGGAGTTACAGAGGAAAGCAATTTACTTAAGTCTCCATCTCTAAAAAACACTAGTATTCAGGGGAGATACACTTAAAACATTAATAACTTAAATAAGGTTAACATCACTTAAGGCATCATGTTTCATATTAATAAACATAGTTCATACTCTTTCAAAATAGAATAAAATAATATCAGGGGGGTACTGAGGGAAAGCTAGAAGAAAATAAATTAGGTTCAAATTCTTGGGTTGCTGAGTGAGTATTCAAGGCTTTGGAGTTTGGGTTTTCTTGTCTAGGTGCTTCATGGCCTCTTGGACCCACTGCTCCGTAGGGTCAGCACAGACCTTGGCCCGTCTGGTCTGGAAGCTGTGAGGAGAGAGGGGCACGGTTAGATGGAGTTTCATTGAGACTTCAGCCTAGGGGTGCAGCTCCTTCTGCCCTAAGAAACTCCCATGAGAAGTAGAGAAGGCAAGTAGGTGGAAGGAGGGAACCCAGGGCCAGCTGCTCCTATAGATGTCCCGGTTGAAGCCATCCTGACTTCAGGCTACAGAGACTGGGATGGTCTGAGGCAGCCCCCAGATGGAAAGTGATGCCGGGAGTCACTTCTTCCCTCGCTTCCCCACTGGGCACCTTTGGATATTGGATTAGATAGTGTAACTCTCTGAGTCTAAGGCTGTGAGGCTTTTTTATTTTATTTTTTCCCCTGAGGAAGAAGTGGACCAGAGAGGGCTAGTGCGCTCAACTCACATCACAGCTTCTTTGGGACACTTGCTGCTGGTGATTCTTCTGTAGCTCAGCAGCCTCGGTTTGGGGATGGGCTTACTGATGAAGTCATAGCAGCAGGTGGAGGAACCAAGTCCATCTAGAAATAGAACCACAAAGAGAAAACATTTCAGGATGGATTATGTTCTTCTGATCTTCATCAGAGCAGAAAAGAGTAGTAAGGAGGAGGCAAAGGGAAATCAGGAGGAGAGGTGGAAACCATTATATCCCAACACGTCTGCCTATACCTCAGAGCGATTGTAGAATGCTATACCGACTCAGTTTCTTATGCTGTAAAATGGGTATAGAGCATTGATAACAGACAGAGGGATGGACAAGCTGTTAACATGACATAAATCCTGGGAGTGTCATTAGAAGGAGCTAATAGTCCAAATTATCAGGGTCAGGGAAGATCAGTTTTGGGACCCCAGCTGTGGGTCCCCCTTTAGGCTCCAAGTAATCTATGCCTGGTCCTGAGTTTCTCTGACGCCTCTGCAGGGCTGGGTCTCTGGAAGTTGGACTGAATGAAGCACAGTCCAGACTCTGCATCTCCTCTTCTCCATCCATTGTATCTGGAAATGCCCTGCACACCCTCCGCCAGAGGCCCCCTCTCTTTGATCACCCCAACCCCCAACATTGCTGAAAGGAGCTGGGGCAGTTACTCTACTGAGGGTGTGTTTCCAGAGCTGGAGTTTTAGAAAGAGCCGGATTTGGGGTTCACAGCTGGATTTGTAACCCAGGCTTTGCCCAGGAGTAGCTGTGTGATCAGGCTCACCTCTTACCCTTCTCTGAGCTTGCTTATCTTGTAAAAGCAGTTGTCAAAGTAAGGCTGTGGGTACCCCTTCTGTTCTAATGGCCCATGGCAAGCCAGAGATGGGGTGATGTGCTTCCAAGGGAAGAAGGGGGAGGGCTTACCTGGCTGAGCCAGCACCTGGGCGCTGAAGGCGGCCACGGTGAGCAGCAGGCACAGGAGGGCAGCGGAGACCTTCATGGTGGAGCGTGAGGACAGGAGCTTCAGCTGAGAGTTGTTGGTGCCTGGCTTTGTCTCACTCTCTGTGCTCCTCTGGCTGCTCTGCCTGCCTTTTATTAAAAAGAAAAGTGGGTGGAGCAATGCTTGGCTCTAGGCAACCTAGTTGTCATCAGCAATGAATGACTAATGGAAATTTAAATGTGCTGAGCAACGTGAGCATCCTGATTTTACTGGAAGGAGAAGAGAGAAGTATTCGGGTGAGATAGGATACTTTTCCTCTCCACTGCTGAGTCCCAAAGGAGTGTGTGTGTGTGTGTGTGTGTGTGTGTGTGTGTGTGTGTGTGT